TCTTTCCCACACCCACCCAACATTTTTCCTAATCAAATGGTATGAAAATAATTATTCATAAAATCCAACAGTCGTAACACCAATCATGTATAGGTCTACAGGTCATTATGTCCGAAGGATACATTCATGTTTTGTACAGCCTGAAACATACAAAAACTTCTTTAAAAAACTCTTAAATATGATACAGATCTTCATAACCCAAAGTAAAATATTTAGCAGTTTTGCTTTTTTTTGGCCATATAAAAATATTTTAAAGGCCATTTATACCACAACTGGTAGAAACATTTGAACAAATGATTTATGGTGCAGAAAGGCTTCAATGCTATTCTCTTTCCCAATCAGTTTTTGGTTACCACTCTCCTGGCTTTAGAGAAGCCAAAAAGCTATGGAGTTGCTCATGGCCAATTATCAAGAATACTTACTTTGTGCCAATTTTTTTCCCAGTGCAACTAGTTAATACACTACAAATCAGCTTTAAGTCAGTGCAGAAGAAGATTTTCAAAAAACCTATTATCCTTGCCTGTGTTTGTAATCAAAACAGTAACAACAGATGACCAATAAATATCCCACACGTAATTGTGGTATAAATGGGTCTTCTGAACTCAAACTGCTTTGGCAACTTTACATAAGAATATTTAAATATGTGACATACCAACACTATATAATGTTGCTATAAATGCCATTTCTGATTTCCCTCAGAGAAAAAGGGGAAACTCTGTTTTCACTTATAACTTGACTATGGAGAAAATTTATTTCAATAAAATGGATGAATCATTTTAATTTTTAGACATTAAGTGCCGAGTTTAAAATAGCCTGCCAACTAGCCAGCACCTGAGCTAATAAACTCGTCACATGGAAGTTAAAGCTTATATTTTCCTAAAGAAGAATTTTCTTTTGTTGCAAATGGCTAAAAACAAAACTGAGATTAAAGCTACCTTATTACTCTTTTTCAGTTTATCAGATGCAGAGATTTGTATAAGATTCATTTTTCACTGAGGGATAATATCGATTTAAGCATCGAATCTAGAAATGTAAGCAACAGGGCCACAGGCCACCTAATATTATTTTGTTTTCTAAAAATATTTAAAACTCTGTCTTCCATTTGGCGTTATGGTTCACGTTTATTACTAAGTCATAAGCCAGGATTTCACTTTGCCTGAATCACTTTTCACTTAATAGTTCATAGCTGATCTCTTTCAAGTGTCCATAGAACACAGTATATTATATAATTCTTCAATAATTAAAAATTATTTAGTGTAGAACTTTCCATTTTAAGTCTATGCTCTAAATAGCTTACAACAAAATTTACTGGATAAACATTTTCAGGAAACCAATACAATAAATTAAAACTTTTAAATAGAGGGCACAAAGTTACGTTGCCACAGGGCAGTCAAAAAAGTGACTGATTTTTTCTTTTTTTACAGTATATTACACTAGACACCTTGCTTCTGACTTGGTTTCTCCTATACTGGAAAAATACTATAAAACTCGGACATTTATGTACCTTTAGAGTGAGCTCAGATACTGTATCAGACAGACATTTTTTACAAATCTTCTACCTACTTAAACAAGAAGCAAGCCATAACAACTGGAACAGTTTCACACAAGCATAACAGAAGGTGACTGGGGTCATTATGGAATTAAAATAAAGTTCTGGGACAACTTCATAGTGTTCTCCTCCCACCCCCCTACCCAAACAACTGGAAAAAAAAAAAAAAGGCAGACCTGTACGAACATGGCTTGAAATCAACTATGAGGACTTAAAGTAATTGGTTAGTAGAGAATGGAATTAAATCACACCTGATTTTAAGTTCAACTTAATCATCAGTGCTACTAAAGAGTTATGTTCTAATGGAGTAAGACAGCTATTCTCAATAAAAGGATAAAACCAAGTATCAACTTCTAATGACCTACCAGCATTTCATAGTAAGCTGCTAGTAAGTTACTAGTTGGAAAGAATGAAGGAATGTGTCAGATTTTTCACATAATTACAACACAGCAGCATACAATGCTCATTCATTAAGTTGGCAGAGGTGCTTTTGCTACTGAGAGTAGCACGCAGGTACTTGTATAAGGAAAGATGGAATGGTATTTCCATGACCCCTTGCGGTAACACATTCCAAGCACCAAGGGCCATTTTTAAAATCTGAACCCATTAAGATAAATATGACAGGACAATACCACCCCCACAGAATCATGAGTGCCTTTCACTGGATGTACGCTGTAAGTCTCAAGGCACTTAAGGGGTTAAGACATAATGCATGCATTAGTTCCCATCACGTAATCTTAAGTCACATGAATCAGAATACACCAGTGTGTGACACACAAGCTGTGCCAAAGAAATGCTGTTTATTTTTTTTTTTAATTTTTATTGTTATTGTTATTCTTTTGTACAAGATGCTGGTAAGTGGGCATTATGCAGCTACTGCTGGGTTAACACAGATGCCAGCTTTCCTCTAACAACCAGCTGGTCTCTAGTAAGGGTGTAGGACAAAGTGTGCTGCATCAGTAGGCAGTGTGTATCTATCTAGTATTGGCAATATTGCTAATGTTGTAAAAAACAAAACACTGAGAGTCTGTACATAGTAAATAAACCTAGCACTGGAAAAAGACCATGGCTTAGTGTATTTTTTCATTTGTTTTTTGTTTTAAGAGACATGGGTGTAAAACAGAGTAAAATAATTCCAAGCCTTGTTTGTAGCAATTCAATCAGAAGCGCAGTATATGGCACTACAATGAAATATCATAGATTACCCTGAACACAATTAGTTCTTTCAGTTTATGGTTTGTTCGGAGCAAAGCACGAAAATAAAGTCTTCAAACAGATGAAGGTTAGAAGAGTTTCAAAGACTGATTTTGTTTCAACGTAAAGTGCAACAGTGCTGAAGTTTTCAAAGTCCTTTGTCAATTCCTTGCTGTACTTCACAAACATCTCCTGCAAGCAGTATTATGGCACAAAGAATGCTGCCAGTTCATTACAGAGGATGGGATTCCTCATTTGATATCCTAGGTTTTTTGCTCTTTACTTATGTGGTGATGCTTGTAAAGGTTTAATAAATCCTTCTTCATACACCTTCAAAATAGCTTCACATACAAATCTGTATTGACTCTGAAAAGGAAAGCAGATTCAGTAAATTGAAAAGAAAGGTAATTGAACCATGTAATTTGTAGGGAGAAAAGGCCTCTAAGATTTCCCCATCCCATTCTCTTGACAGGCCATGAACTGTGCTCCAAAGTTTGTTTAGGAAACTGAGACCAACTTTATATTAGAAAAATCTTGTTTCTCAACAGAAGAATGGGATGAATGTCACTTTGAAATATATACCAAAAGTAATACCCACAAAACCAGTACTATTATTACAACATCATCTATTTAGTAATTTTCTGCTCTTCATTTAATTGCTGAATTTCTGCTGTCCTGAGGTTCCCATGCACTTGGATTTAAAAGCTATAGTTTGAAAGCACTTTTCCATTAATTCTAGCATGTTACTGGTGCCTCCCTTTCAGAATGTGATAAAAAAGAAAATTGCTTCAAGTTTTGAAAGCCAGAACTCCAGTTTCCTAACATTATATAATGTCTAAATCCGCAATGTATTCAAGTCTAGCACCTGCATACACAGAGGCCACTAATATTTTGTTTTAAAAAAATAATAGTTTAAAAACCCATCAGTAATCAAATTAGAATATACTGAAAATAAAATTCAATAAAATCACTGTTTTTTTAAGGCACCACAACTAACACTGAATACTGCGTAATAGTTTATACGCTGGTCAGAAAGCTAGCACACCTGCCTTTTCAGTGCTGTGGAATATCCCTCCCTATGCAGTGATTAGTGATGTCAGATCTTAAGTGGGCACAGTAACAGATTTATCAGTAGAATCATTATTTATTGTATTGTTGCATGTATATTACAGTGGTTAAATTCATATGTATTTGTGCAGAATACTTATTTTGCCTCCAGTGCTCCCTGAAGGAGACTCTGAACTCTCCTCAATAGTACACACAGCAGAGCCCCATGCATAGGGCCATCTTGTGGACATTGAGTGAATCTTTCAGGATACACAAAATTAGGAAGAGAGGGACAAAGGAGAAACTTAATAGCTAATGTTTATGAAATCTTGAAAAAAGCAACCACTTCAAGCCTTTTATTATCCCTTCTCCCTCTGATGCAGTGAACACCTGTGTTTCTCTAAGAAAAATGAGAAGACCAGAAGATATTTAGCACATGCTGTGAAAAAATACAGTTAAAACCCTTACCACTGCACCTCCTATCTTTACTGATAAAACTCTTCCTCTCTATGTATGCTTGAGAGATATGCTATGCATACTGTATAGCCATCACAAACAACAAGAGCCATCCTTTATTATATCTTGTTCATCCTTCCTGTCCTAGCTGAATAATATAACTTCTTTTCAGTGGAACATGAATACTGGACAGCAGCACTGAATGATGCATGACCTAGAAATAGAGGCCCACATATACTTTTTGTTAGTCTGAATACCCTCTGTACAGTACAAAAGGTTTATTGAAATTTGATTAGAGGAACAGCAGCAGGGACATTAAAATCACTACAATGAGCAAAAAGCTTCAGGTAATTGTGGGAGAGATTTGTTACTGGATTTAGTGCCTTTTCTCCTTCAAAATACTTTCCTTTAAAAACACTACATACTACAAATAAAACTATACAACTTATTACTGATTCAAAAAAAAAAAAACCTGAAACCAGTCAAAGCTTGGAACAGCCAAGCGTCCAAGACTTTTTTTTGTTTTGTTTGAAAGACAACACAACTCAATCTTTTGACACCTTTTAGGTATTTTCTAAAAATGTAAACACAAACTGCTCTCAGAGATATGCAACACCTGCCTGATACAAATACAAAGTTTCTAAATCTGTAATAAAACTTTTAGAATTCTGAAATATAATACATTAAAGTAATATTGCAATTATATCAAAAAAAACCCAAACATTATAGATCCAAGAAAAAAATTTTAGTATCACAAGGTACACCAAATGTGAAGAGAGCCGCAAAGAATCCTGGTAGCAAGTTACTTTCTTTGGAGTAAATGCGCTTTAAATTACTTTTATGTATCTCACATCAGATTTAATTACACTGATAGTTAAAACTACTATTTCACTGATTATTTCCCTTTAATTGAGTCACTACAGGGCAGAGTTAAGGTTTGGTTTCATTATAACTAAGGCAAGAACAACAAAAAAAAAATCCCTGAATTGCATAATTTAAGGTCTTTCTTGCATGTCTTGAATCTTTCTATGTTTATCTTTTATACTAATCCCATTCTTAACAACTGTTATTAGGCTCCTCCATTCTCCTCTGAGTAATTTTCACACTACTGAAAATTGTCCCTTTTGGACCTTAATTGCCAAGTATCCTTGAAACAGCTGCTGCTTTTTACAAGTTTGCTTTGTAGAAATGTGAAGAATTGCTCCTTTCCAGTAGCCTTAGCAATTTATTCCTCCCTGAAGCCAAGGCTACAGCTACACTGGGTAAAGCTGACCTCTTTGCAATATGATCCACAGCAAGTATATTAAAAATCTCTTTAATTATATGATGAGATAATAGGAAGTTATTCTTTTGCAGCACAGAACAGCAAGTATGATACTCACAGGTGTTTGGATCATCATGGCTCTTTGATCTCTCATGGTTCTTACAATATCTAAGGGATAAACAGGCTGATTGCACTCAATGAGACACATAGCTGTCTCCATAGTGATAAGAACACCTGTCCGTCCAATCCCAGCACTGAAAAAACAACAAAAAACCCAAAATGGAAAATGAAACAAAGTGTCTGGAATATAGTCCACATTTAAAGACCACATGTTCTTAACAGGCATTTTAAAAAACCCCACCCTAAGACCTCCCTTCTCAAGGATTCTCAGGACTGATCATTATGATTCCCATAATATTAGGGCAAGGGTTAGACAGATTGTGTCTGTGTCCCTGGAAGCCTCCATCCTGCCTGAAGAGAGCAAAAAACAGTAAGTGCAGAACCGTCAGTCCTTTGAAGGAAGACTGTCTTAACCCAGCCATTCACTTGAGCAGAATTTAAAAACAGATATTTATTCAGATCATATTATAAACCATGGTAATATCTAAATGATAACAAGACACAGAGGTACCTAGCATACACTGTGCACTTTGTGTCAATTTGACCATTACTGAAATGATTGTTACTGGAACATCGAGCTGATTTGATAAAACCTTGTGTATGTTCTTGAAGCAATCCATATCTTCATATTTTGGAGTAAGCAAAATAAAAATTACTAGAAACCTCTGGAGAATTACAATAATGATAATTTTCTTCGTATTAAAAAGTACAAGAGAGATTTAACCTGTATAGATTGAAAAGGAATATGTAATGGCAATCCCTTCCAAGACAAGGAAGAACTATAATATATACATCTTGGAATGGCAAAACTGTTAAGAGAGCTTACATGAGTAATCTTTAGCTTAAAAATAAAACAAAGCTAGATATTTATCTGTGTTGTTTTACATATACATACACCTTCCCACAAGCAGTAATCCTCAAAGGCTGAATATTTAACCTTGAACTTGATAATTGGTTTAAAATTCAAATTTTTCACATTCAAGAAAATGATACTGCACTTTTGAAACAGAAAACCAATGCTTCTCACATTTGAATATGGGACCAAAAACATATTTTCAAATGCCAGCATTATCTCAACTCATACCACCAGTATTTCACTCAATAAATGACAGTGCTTGCTTCTAACCTAGTTAATATAAACATTCCAAAATTTGAAACTTAATTGTTCTGATTTTGAAGCATAACTTCAAATTAAGTCTGGCTAAACTAATGCTTGAAATCTTTGCCCAGAAGGTGGCATCAAAGCTGCTGTATATTTCACTGATGTCATGAGAATTTTTTGACAAGGTCTGAATGTGCTGGTTATACAAAATTACTCAACAGCATTTTATATTTCTAGAATTAATACATATAGAATATATATGCAGAATGCTTTATCAAATCCAAACAGTAACAGTATGTGTCAAAGAACCTAATGACAATTTTACAACTTCAAAAGATTCAGAGAAGGGCAAAAACAATGATGGAAAGTGTGACAGAGTTTCTCTATGGTAAATATCAGTTAGGCTAGGACTCTTCAGCTTGGAAAAAGAACTCATGGACTGATGGAGAGGAACACTGAGACAAGACATGAAAATCATGGATGGCATGGATAGGATGGGTGTGGCTCACCATTTCTTCCAGAACAAGAATTAGAAACTGTTCAACTAATCTAGTAGGAGCCTTGCAAAAATAAACACATTAACATAAGCTCGGAAACTAGTGTTTTAGGTAGTTAAACATAACAGTGGTATTATCACTTGAAATTATCAGTATGGAGCTGAACTGATGCCACATGGAGGTGAATGAAACTGTTCATACTCTCCAAAGTTGTTTTTCCAGTTGTCTCTGCAAACTTGCTCAGTTTACTTTGTAAAAGTTGTATTTGGCTGATACTTTCACTATTTGTTCACAACCATACCAACCAAAAGTATATCAATAATGGAAGCTGAAGAAAAATATCATTTAAGACAGTGGCATTCTGGTAGTGCTTTCCCTAGTCAGTAAGATTCATCCTGACCAGCTCAAAGCAAAAGAGAGAGCAAAACCAAGTAAATACAATTTCTGATACATGAAATGTGAAAAAGAGAAAACATTTTTCTTTCATCTTCTTCAATATATATGTAGTTTACTTGTAGATTAGATAGACTGTAAATTCATTTTATCCCCTAAACTTCTCAGCTTCTCTCTGAAACAGGAACAATGCACACCTGACTCAGGAACAGTGACTTCTCTGGGGAGTATTTAGGAATTTGGAGGTCAAATTTTATTCACAGAACTACTTACCAAGAACTGGTACTCTTTGAAGACATTTGGCATTATGCATTATTATAGTTTACTAATTAGGTATTTTAAAGGATTATATTCCTATAGTAAATTTCAAAATCTTAGAATGTTAGTAAAAACTACTGCACAACAAAAAAAAAACCACATTTCACATGTACATAAAAATATGAGTAACAGAATTATTTTAATTAATGACAGAAGTAAATTGTTGAGAAAAATGTGTCAATTTAATGTATGTATCAAAATATCATGTAGCCTAAGACTGCAGACTTGAGAGAAAATGTCTTGTATTTGTTCATTCCATATACTATCCACATTTTCTGCTATGGATTATTTATACAGCTCCTCTGGAGTTTTGTAGAACAGTCATCATAAGAAAAAGGTTCACAAGCATCTTTCACCATTTTCCTGAATTACTATATAGACTGTTAGCACAAGCATTTAAACTGCAAACAGAAGAAAACAACATACCCACAAAAACCCTGCACACATCAATGCATGTAGATACACAAAATTTTGCTTTCTGAAACGTGATTCCAATTTTAAGTAACTGTTTAATTTAAATGTTTTCTCCTGTGATCCCCAAAACAGACAGAATTAAATGGTTATTTCAACAACAAAGCACAGACAAGCTATTTAATTATAAATAAATTCAGTTTGATGATTTAATACAGTTAAAAAAAAATAGATACCTGCAATGAACAACAACAGGTTCTTCTCTGCCAGCCCTCTTCTTTCGCACAAGACACACAAAATCTAGGAAATCGCTGGAATCATCAGGAACCCCATGATCAGGCCATGCTATATACTGGATTTGGGTTAGTTGGCGGCTTTCCTCTTTCTAATCAGAAACACAAAGTTAATTAATTCAAAGGTAATTCAGGCCCCAGTTAAAAAAAGCTACCATAACAATAATAATAAATCAATTGTACTTTTATAGCAGCTTGTATCCATAATAAAAGTAACTTCAGGGAACTAGCAGCACTTTATTAGTGTTAATTATTGCGCATCTTGGATTTTATGATTACATTGTTTCTTAGAAACAAAAGAGGCAATCCAAAAATGTTTACATCTTCAACAGGTTAAAAAAATTACACACCATGTAACAGCAAAGCAGTTCAAGGATACTAACGGTCTATCTGAACACTAGATGTACAAGAAGGTAGCCAAATTTTTATCAAAACAAATTTAACAGAAAGAGGTACCATCTTACTAGATCAAATGACAGAACTGGGGTGGGGAGGGGAGAGGCAGTACTTTCAGACATAAAAGGTTTCCTTCATACTGCATGTGAACAACAGTATTGTCTTGTCTTTATCCGTACCTCTACTTTTATCCAGCGTACTACACATAAGGAGCAGAATGACCTTGTTTCCATTCTCTCCTGCCCTCCTGCTCTAATATCACACACGTGGTCTGCCTCTGGTTAGTGGAGGGGACAGGCGGTGCTACAATCAGTGTAAAAGCAGCATTTCAAAGAGCAGGAGTTACATACTTTAAATAGCCTCTAGGCGTGAAATCATTTACAGAGGTTCCACTACTGATAACAAATGAGCAATTGGCTCAACAGCACAGAGGAAAGGAATTTTAACTGCAAATTGACTAAAAGGCAGCTCTATAAAACTGGCATCTCATCTGGTAACCCAAGCAGTGAGAAATGAGTACGTGAACTAAATTCCAGATACTAATTTCCTAACATTTCCAAGATTGAAATGCTAGCTGGGGAAGCTCTGAAAACAACACGTGCCCTGAAAATCATGCAACGCATGTTCAACAAAGTCCTTGTTTACATGGAGTCACCAATCCCAATTCATCTGTCAACATGATTTATCTTCCATCTACTTGCATCTACTATTCACCAAGACAGAATTAAGAACTGTTTGCCTCTACAGACAGATTTTCACTTGCAATAATGAAATACCTCTAGTGTCTCATGTTTTGAAAACACCAAGGAAATAACAATTTTCTCAGCTTCTTAATTACTCTTTCTTTGGCCAGGACATGAAAGTCACCATTTACAACTTTTAAGACAAATAAAACCTCTAATGTGTTTTAAAACCAATTAATATAATTATGGAAACTGAATCCTTGGGATATTTTGCTAGTGAAACATTTGCTACCATTCTAAGAGCAGAATTTATAATAGGTGAGTACACATGGCAATATAACTAGTTTTCTAAAGATTTCTAGAAATAAACAGTTCTATTTATGTGCACATGCCATGAAGCTGAAAAGAAAGTCTGGTTAAGTAACTTTTAGGTAGTCTGTGAGGATTCCACAGATTAATACTTAAAAATATATATTACGATTTTACCTCCAGATTAGTCAATGTCATTTCTCGAAAGACATACGCAGGATTTCCTTCTTCTGAATGGCAGGTAATCTGGAAATTCCCATATGATGAGCTTCCGGATGGCTCTGGCCAGTACTGATGGCATTTAACCTAAGGTCAACACATTTTTAAAGATGCCTGTGTTTAAATTCACAGAGTATTATTTTCATCCTCTCACATCTTCTAGTTCCTTATAGCTTGGTTCATTAAAGACTATTTTGATCATTTTGTAATTACTATTAATTTACTTACCAAATAAACTGTGTTACCTAATTATTGTTTATAAAATAAGGTATTGCAGAGATTTCCTGGTTCTCTTTTCAAGAGGACATATGCACCAGCTCTTGAGGTTAGTTTAACTGAAGATGGATGCCTTTAACTTTCATGAGCTTTTTTTTAAAAGTATATCTATAAATATTCCATCTTAACACTTGAGTGACAAAGATGCTGCTTTATAAACATTTCTAACCTCCAAAATCCTAATGTAATCTTCTCAAAGCACATTTATATGGGAGAAGAACAAATGAAAAAAAAAGGTGGTAAGTAACCAAAAAGTTCCTAAACTCATGCAGAAATTTAGGGGATGTAGATGGCAGACTTCAAAGACTCTTGATCAAGTCACCAAATGGGAATGAAAGCTTCAAACACTAAGATTTTCAGACATACTGCTTAAACGCCTAATTCCAGAGGTCATTTCAGCTCAAGTGTACTTTTGTTTTTCCAACCCACCTGGCGATTCTTTAAGAGCAGCCAGATTTGCAGACTTCCTGCTCCCTCAGACATCCCGGCATGCAGTGGGATAGTGATGTCAGTAGCCTCATGATCAGCTTTAGAGCAGGGAGTCTGCCTATATGCATAAGACAGATAAGTCCTTTTATTTTATAATTTAAGCAGCTCTCCAAAGAACTCCACAAATACCATTATTGAAAGGGTAGGGGAACCTCGGAGAACTGCTGTTGCAAGTCTGTTCTTAGCAGACTTGCAAAGAGAACTCAAATTAAAAGGGCACTTGTACTGAAATTCCCTCTAATCATGTCTATTTGGGAGCATGCAGCATCATGCTAACGCTGAGTCACTGAAAAACAGTTTAAAAATGCTGCAACTCCCCTTCAATTATTTTAATTACATTTAAAGGCCTGACCTCCCAGCATATATATGGTTATTAAGAAGTTAGAATATATACAGACAGCTGAACTACAGTCTGAGTTGATCAGAACACCCACAACCTACTACAAATCCATCTTCAAAAGAAATACTGAATATTGAGAAATTCAGCTAAACTATTATTCCAGACTGTTGTTTCTGTCCACACACTGAACCAGGCAGTACTACTGTGAATGCTCCAGACTGTAAACGTAATAACTCTGGAATTACACTGTGTGTATGACCAGATTTGATTGTTTTGCTTGTCTCTAAAAGACAAAGCTGCGCAATAAAAAAAACTACTAAGGAGAAACTATAGTTTAAAAACCAAACAAACCACAAAATACACGTAAGGCCTTTTACAGCACCATACACAATTATTTTTAGTAATTTATAACTCTAATTACTTTATTACTCGTACTCTACTTTTACACATTTTTGTATGGAAACAACTTAAAGGACCATGATTCTTTCATATAATTAAACAAGTGTTTATAGCCACACATGCACATTTAATGAAATTTTTTAGATTTCAAGCTTATCAAGGATTCTCTTAAAGACAGCCATCCAGACATGGGATCTTAACACTACAAAGCTGGGTTCGGCTGCCTTAAAAAATTAATCCCCCTACATATAAAGAACTAATCTACAAAAACTGATGAAACTTCTTGGAGTTCCTTCACTTGAAGTTTAGGAAAGAAAAAAAAATCCTACATAGGTATATTCTAGTTGCTTTTTACTTTACAATAAAGAGTCAAAGAAGCCTAAAAACCTTTTAAGAAACACAGGAAGATTCCAATGTATTTCAGAACTGAACAAAGTTTAAATATTAGCTACACTAACAATATCAAAAGGTTTAAAATGCAAGAGTCATCATTGCAACAGTACTAGGAATGAACTACCCTTATGAAAAAAAGTCATATTACATGTCATAATCGTCTATTGCTCTAATATTTTAAAAGTTCATCACCAACGGATTTTTCAGAAGACTATGCAAGTAGTATTTAAGGAAATCTTTTACTTACTCTGCCCCGTTCAACTTGAGTTGTTAACATTACAACCATAGATGAGCCTTGTTCCCAAGTCATCTGCCAAAAATCAGGACAAGTGTTCGGTAATGGACCTTGACAAGCAATGTATTGGTTTATTATTGTGGAAGAAGGGATTTCCATCTAAGAGAAGACAAAAGTCATTACTTTAACTGTTACGGCAAATGTAAGTCAGCCATCAGACTTTTAGTGTTTACTAATATATTAAAAAAGCATCAACTATATATTTACTAACTTGTTATAAATTAGTAAATCTGGATTGACACGGATAAAAATTCTTCAAAATGCTTCACACAAAATTATTACAAAGATCCAAGTACACTTCACATATTAACTGACAGTTATGTAGTTACCATAATCAAGATTAACGGTCAAAAAAAGAAGTGATAGACCAGCTGGCAAATAATTGAGATGCAAGCATTTCATGCTCTGTGGGTTTTTGACACTAATTTGTAAAATACTGATGTTGGAATTTAATTTCATCTGTTTTTTGTTCCTGAAAGGAAAAGTAAATAGTTGTTAAAAAAAAATAGTAGAAGAAAGTGCTGCCAGATTGCACTTTACTAATGTTGAACACTACTGACACATTAGTAAACAGAAAAGAAGAAGGAATTCCTCTGGCAGAGAGCTAGTTTCTCTTAGAGTTTTTTCTTTTACTTGGTTTCATTTATAAAAACAGCCGTCAAAAAGTATTAGCAAATATGTAAATCTACGCAAATTTCAAACCATCTGAGGACAGGTTTATCAGACATTCTAGTTGAACAAAAAATTGCAAAATTACTTAATGTTAGAAGCTCTATTGAAATATACTACTCACATTTATATAATTTGCATTGATGTAATCTTCATTACTTTTTAAAATAACCCGTGTAGCATCATCTGAAAAAAATTTTTAGAAATATATTACTTGTTTACCAACCACAGTAAAATACTTTTAGAAAACATATACAAACACACATACTTACAAGGCGAAATGTCTCTGTATCTATTTTTGGAAATGTTTTGAGGTAATCTGGCACAAGACATTGTCATTCCAGGCTTTTTCCTATACAATTGCTAAAAGACAAAACCGATGGTCAGACTATAATAGATACAAAAGACCCGTTAGTATATTATTTGCCCAGAGGTACTTCTTAGAACATAAACTACTGGGCAACCATAGCTTCAACACACATGAAAATACTTTTCAAAAGAAAGCACTATGAATATAGTTATGCTGTGGGATCACTGAAAATAATCAAGTCATTGTCACAATTTGTTTAGAGACAAGCTGATTGTTACATTTCAAGCTTCCATAAGAACACTGATGCAGAGAAAAGTCAACATTGTATACTGGTAAGGGAATTGACTGATACTGGCATTCTACACAGTGATTAGGGTCAAGCAGATTGTATTGCATATAAGCATCTAAACACACTACAGCTGTTTCTTTTTTTTCCTCTCCAGATGTCCTTCCATATTTCAGTAATTGTAGAGCAAACCTGAGCTACCTTGTGCTTTTCCTGCACAAAATCTCCTCTGAGAGATTCCTGCCCTCTCATGCCTTAGCCATGAACTGCCACAGCCCCTTGTGCTGAAAACAGTATCAGTGAAGTGATCCAGGTTTAATAAAAAGCAATTTAAAACCTTTTAAACATTGAACCTGTTTGGGAGACTGAAAATGCATGGTTAGGGAGGCTTTTTAAAATCACTTTGATAAAATCTTTTCTTTCTATATATAAGTTTTACCAAAGTTCTTAAAGAACAGTGTATCAATATATCTCATAAACGTATGTTGTAATACATAATGCTAGGTCTCCGTTTGTGAGGAATTCACACTGCTGTGTTTTACAAACCTACTGCTTCCTGCTTAAAGTCACTTGATCTCATGCATTAAAGATGGAGTATCATCAAGGCACAAGTTAGTGCTAAAGAAAGGCTATAGCTATCAGCAGCCTGGGATCCCACAGGAAGTGCACTGTTCTTTTGAAATACGTCATGAAAAATGAATTATTTATAAAAGACATTGTTACATTAACCCTTAAGATTAATGTTGTATTTTCCATTGGTAATTTTATCTTCCCTCACTGAGACTGTCTATAAAATGTCAACAGCTCAGCTCTCATTCAGTTTCTACAGTAACTTAGATATGGAATGAAGGTCTCAGTAAACAATACATCTTGGTATAGATTTTTCATTCTTCTTCCCTATCAAAGTATTTTATTAGCATATGTCCCTGATAACTATAAAAAGCTGTAAGTAATTGATAAAGCTATTTATAACAAGCAACACTAACAACTAGTATTAGGATTATTCCATGCCATAAATTTGCACATGTAGTGTGTTTCCATACAAGATTGGATTTTTTTTTTGTTATTTTTCTTTTGAGATTGTAAGTCAACTCATTTGCTAAAAGATGCTGACTCTACTGAAATTTGACTGAAATCTGCTCTGCTTAAAAAAATTACTATCCCAAAAGGCTTGGAACTTGCACACAGGGACAGGTAACACAGTACTCACATCAAACTGAGCCAAAACAGTTCCAGTGATAAGCCCCTCTGCTAGCTGAATCATGGATTCCCTCAGAGCATTATCATCTTGATGGACACCATCAAGTGGAGATTTCTCAGGGATGTACTGGAAGTCAGGCTCGCTCTCCAGCTTCTCTTCCACAACATCATAGACAGCTATAACAAACAAAGGTATGAACACTCTGACTAAACATGCTATTTGGCAAGTAAAGTTAACTCTAAGTCATTTATTTAAAACAGCAAAAAAGACATGTGTTTCTCCTATAGAAAAATCCAAGTTGATTAAACGCACTGATTTTAGTGTGTTGCCTCTGCCAGCACAGGCAAGTAGCCTTTAGAGATCCTTATAATCCACGACAGAACAATTTTTTTTTTGTTTAATAGTAATTTTAAGTGAAGGCACATCTCTGACTGCTAAAATTCTGATCAAGACTCAGGTTATACCCTATCCTATCTGAGGTAAATCCCCAATCTCAGATTCTCACATGGTGTCTCTGAAGTCGTTACAGTTGCATTTTTAATTAATTTTGAACTGAATTTAGGCTTCAGTAATTAGGGCAAGATGTGCAGACCACCAGAAAAAATCCATAAGTATATGCCATTATAATGCTATCAATGCTGTATGTGTGCCTTGCCTATGAATAAACTGAAAAATAATATGCCTCTTCTACTATATGTAAGAGAGACATATGCCTGTTTTTAAATATCCCATGACCATGAAGGAGGGACCTGGTAGCTCCTCATTTCTACAGTTCAAATGTTTTTATCCAGAATACAAAGATAACAAACACACAAGGGGGAAACTCTTTTACTAACTTTGTAAACAAAGCTAACAATTTTTTCTGAAAAAGCAAGTAAGCACACAAAAGCTGCAGGACAACTTACACATAGAATGAGAGCACAAGTAAGTGGGGAATGCAAATAAATGAATAAAGGTGGCTGAGGTACTCTCCTAAAGCAATTTCCATTATTCCGATTAAATATCATTTTTTATTTTGCTTTTTCCTGGGCAACTGTATTATAATTGGGATGTGCAGAAGAATTAAATCTAGTGACCACCTGCTGGCCATACTCCAACAGTGTATTTCACTAATACACTGCACAAGCTGTTATTTAGACTGCATTTTTAGCACTTTCTTCTATTAAGCCTCCTCAGGTATAAATGTCATCAGTCATTCTGGATGGAAGAACTTCTATAGGCACATCAGCGATAAAAGGAGGAGTAAGGAAAATGTGGGCCCCCTCCGGAAGAAACCAGGAGACCTGGTGAGCCAGGATATAGAGAAGGCTGAGGTACTTAACAAGTTCTTTACCTCAGTCTTCATTGGCAAGAGCTCAAGCCACACTGCCCAAGTTGCAGAAGGCAAAGGCAGTGACTGGGAGAAGGAAGAACCACCAGCTGTCGGAGAAGATCAGGTTCGAGACCATTTAAAGAACCTGAAGGCGCACAAGTCCATGGGACCTGATGAGATACATCCACAGGGCCTGAAGGAACTGGCAGATTAAGTGGCCAAGCCACTATCCATCATATTCGAGAA